ATACTTATTTTGCAAGTGCCACAGTAGCAGCTATTTAGCAAAAGTCAAATAGTCTCACTATAAATAAGTTGTCCAAAACACATTATTAAGCTACACCTGTACACTGATTGACACCCTTCTTCACAATGAAGAGCAGCATTTGCAGTGTTTTTGAGTAATTCCAAATACACCATTTTCTTTTGTTTGTTTGGTTTTCTTTTTGCCATAAACACTAGTAGGGGTGTAACTGTTCACAAAAATAAATTCACCACCCTTTTTGAACCTGGAAAGATCTCCGTGAGTGCTTATTATTTAGCGAGTCATAGACCTCCTCCTCAGAAGACTACTCTGCTAGTTTTACATTTTTTTTAATGCAAGAGTAGCCGGAACACTCCCGTTTTGGTTCGATACGACACTGTGACTAATGGCTGATATGTTTTTGATTCAGCAAAAAAGAAAAAAATGTCAGAGAAATTTCCTTGTTCTTTAACCTTGTTACGTCTCTGCACTAGCATTAGCCGTGGCCGGAGCATCATGCTTTTGGGTTTTTCCTGCCTCCTTTTGTGAAGACGATATTCTAAAAACGCCTTGAGGAAATTTCTTGATATTTGGCACAAATGTCCCTCAAAGAACACTTTGAGGGAATTCCTTTTTTTTTTTTTGTTGTTTACAGATTTGGCACAAACATTCACTTGGTTTTAATCATGAACTGATTAGATTTTACAGGTCAAGGTCACTGTGACCCTTGCCTCTGTCTCATTCTCGTGATCTCAATATCTCAAGAAAGCCTTGGGGGATTTTTCTTAAATTTGGCACAAACATCCACTCAGACTCAAGAATAAAGTGATAAGAATTTGGTGGCCAAAGGTCACTGTTACCGTACAATACATCTTTTGGCCATAACTCAAAAATGCATTCACTAATTATGGGGAGGCTAGAACCTCAAACTTTTCTGGCAAAAAGTTTGGGATTTTCCACATCAATTTTTGGTGTCAATGTCTTTAATTTTGTCAAAATAAATGTCCTCTCCTACTTAATGTTTTTGATTTGGTGGGACAATTGCAACTGTTCTAAATATTGAAGAGGTCATGTCCCCCACCCAACCCCCCACCCTGAAATCTACGCCTAATAAATTTTAACAGGATGACTTCCACTTCTGGTATCATAAGAAAGTTTTACAGGGGTAACTTCATGTACAGACCTGTGAAGTGTCTTCACTTTTACAGGCTCAGTTTGGCTTTTTAGATCTGGAAGATCATTGTGCTATAGCTGAAAGAGATAAAACAGTCAATGATGTTTCATCAATGGGCTCTGCAGAAAGACTGCAGACAGACTTGTCGCAATGAGACTGAGTTAGACCAGGCTGCCACTGCAGAGGCTTGAAGCCAAGACATAATAACAGGTATAATCATTAGACCTAACAGCTACAGTAACAGTTTTTTTAATCATTGTGTTACTCTCTATTGCCAGTTTATGTAACATGTTAGGGGTTAAACCTATAGCGAGTTCAGCAAAACTTTTAACATTTGCATTTTAAACACAGAAGGTTGTTTTATAGAAGATAAATATTCCGATGTTTTTGGAATTAGATTCAACCAGAAAAATTGGCTGAACTAAGAAAAAGAAGGGCACAAAAATCACAAAGCTGCAATAATGACACCAAAACAAATTAATGAGGATCTGATAACTAGCCAATTTACAAAGCAAGACATGAAGAATGCAGTGAGCAGCAAAAAAAAAGAAAAGAAAAGAAATGAAGCTTGGATTATGGAAAGTATCCACAAGGTTTTAAAATTGATTCAGAGTTTTGCAGTCATTACAGTTTGTCAGACTGTATCTATTGTTTACCAGTAGGCAGATGAGCTCATTCAACAGAATCAGAGCAACAAGTCATGGGGGAACTGTCAGGAGAGAAACAATATGCATACACTCACCAGCCACTGCGGTCAAACTCAGAAGCATTCAGCATTCTCTCCGCAACATACAAACACATCATTTGCATTTCAAGTAGCTGAGAAGAAACCACAAACACATGTGGAGTGTAGGTAGGGCCTATGGAACATCACAAAAGAAAATTACCTTCTCCACCACCCACAAGACTGCATTATGGGCGTTGCAGCTGCTGCCAAAAAATCTTCAGGCGCCATATGGTCTTCCAATATTTGTTAAGCTAAGCATAATGAGCTCTTCCTTGATCAGATGACAAGGCATGGTGGAGGAATCCCAGTTATTAGCATGCACCAGGCTGTCTTCGTTTCATAGCCTTGCATCAAATCCCATTATATAAACAGGCCAGGGGGTTAATGGGGAGAAAATGTCTCCCAAGCTGTACCATCACATTACTCTCTGCATTGTGCATCATACTGAATATGTTTGTGTGTGTGTGTGTGCCCACTAAGGAAACATTTAAATGTTTAAAGGTCAAGTGGGTAGCGTTTGTAAAAAAAAAAAAAAAAAAAAACTTTTCGTAATAATTGCTAAAACTGTTCCTAAATCCTGACAGTAGTACATTAGATGGATAATCTATGAAAATATCAAGTACCTCTGGCTCCTCCTAGTTCTCCTAATGACGTTTGCAAGAGTCCACTGTGCCTGAATGAAAACAACCAATCAGAGCTGAGGAGACTAACACAGTGTAAATCATAGCTGTTGCACAGACTGTGCTGCCCTCCTGTGTGTACAAGGATACACAAATAAGACAGAAGAGCTGATGAACAGTATATTCCCACAGCTTTTACTACTACTGATGCACAGAGCAGCCATGTTGGAATTTGAGGTTGGGGTTGGTGAGGTCCCTCCAACTTTCCAAATCAAAAATTGGATTTCACAGGGTTAAAATATTTTGACTGGAAACTCAGAAATTCCAACTTACTACTGCTAATGGAACACAGAATTGCCCTTGCTGTGTATGCTGTTGGCGAAAAAAGGGATGGGCAGTTTTTTCATTGCCAGCATTTGTTTCTCAGCCATTGTGTTTGAAAATCACCTTGTGAAGCTATGTGCTGAATATATTGTGCACAGTGTTTGTACTAGCAGGGACCAACTCTGCTTTAGAGATGTGGCGTGCTAGATTCTTGCAAAAAAAAAAATTTAATAAAAGTTACCTACTGACCCTGTAATATATGTAAATTTAGCCCCAATATGGAAGTTGAGACAGTGTTTGCAGTTGCGTAACGGATAATTCTATCTGATCTTATTATAAAATTTGGACATAAATATCTTTATCTTAAAGAAGCAGTTTTGGGAAATGCACTTTAATACTTTATTTACAGAAGTAATGTAAGCCAAGCAGATGTGTAAGCCAGCTTATCTTTAAGACTGTAGCAAGGGAAGAAATGAGCTAACAAAATTGATGAGCTAATGAACAAATCTTAATAAATAAATATATAAATAGATATTTAGATGGAAAGAGAAATGTAAAGATAACAGTTTAGGGCTGCTTTCCCCTGCTTCCAGTCATAGCCTGCTAAGCTAGGCTAACCAGGTCCAGATTTCAGTTCTGTACTTAACATACTTTTCAGTGAAAAAAAGCAAGTAGCATAGCTATCAAAATGTTTATACATATATATATATATATATATATATAAGTCTATTAAAGGTTCTGTATGTGGTCAGAGCATTAACATAGCAGCTAACCACTATTTGCTGTGTAAAAATATAGTGGAGTAATGGCATCCTGAGCAGAGAATGTAGTCAAGCTACCGCTGTGTGTGTTCTAATCTGGCCTCCCAGTGGCTAGCTCATCGCTGCTACTTTGCACTGCGTTCATAAGGCGGTTTCAGCTGAAATCGGGATTGTGTCGTTGCAGTAGCGTAGTGCCCATCCTGCAGTTCCTACTGGTTAACAGTGTAAGCGCTGTCAGCACTGTTGCTGTTGTTCAGTGCTGTTTATGGTATTAGCATTGCTAGCTTGTAGCCCCTTCTACTCCATGTTGAAAACCATGTCCAGACAACTGCAATGTAATATTATTGTTACTTTGACTTACCTTTTAACTTGCGAGTAGCTATTAAAGGCTCGTTTCCACTGAAGAAGTTCCTGGTACTATTTGGGGGGCAGGAACTACTACAGAAATGTCCTCTCGCTTGGCCCTCTCAACCGCCGTGTCTCCACTGAGAGAGCGGATTAGGAGGAAGGTTCCTGTAAAGTTACCAGGCTCTGGATGTGATGTAATCATTGCGCGACCATTTTGACCGGAGCGACGTAGTGGCGTAGGGACGCTGTTTGCTGTTAGCCGATAGTGGTGTCTGTATTAACTCACTAAACTCACAAAGTGGCCCGTGAAAAAAATATTTTTTCCAGCGGATGTCTTAGTTACAACATGATTGAGCTAACTGGAATAGTTTCATGTCGTTTCCGACAACGGGAGGCTTTTAACAGATGACGTCATGATGTTAGCTTTGCTGCTGCTGAAAGCCTGATGCTTTCTAGACATCGTGATTTCCCAAAACTGAATAAATACCACACATAGCAACACAAAACTGCTTTGCTAGCTCAATCATGTTGTAACTAAGATATCCGCTGGAAAAAAATATGTTTTTCACGGACCGGTTATTGAGTTTGTTTACATGGCGGTGGAAGCTATGAACGAGCTAACCCTCGTCTGCTGAGTTTTAAAAATGCCGGCTATTTTGTTGCTTTCTGTTGACGTCACATTCCACCTTGAGTATATCCAATCAGCACCAAGTAACCCCCAAGCTCCAGCCAGGAGTTTTTCGGGGCCGTTCTGAGTACCTACTCCGAGGCAGGGACTTGTTTAGCCCCTGTAAAAGTTCCGGAACTCTGTCCTTCGGGGGTGGTTCCTGTGGTGGAGACACACACCAACGGCCCCGGCCCCGAAAAATTACCCCGAAGATCCTGTGGTGGAAACGGGCCTTAACTTACCAATATCTGCGTTTTGCATGCCTCTTCAAATGATTTCTTCTTGCCTCTCTGTTTTCCTATGTGGTATGTGTGCAGACACACTGCTGTACAGAATATGTATTAATCTCTTTGTCCACATGTGTATATTCCTCATATTGCAGTTGATGGAGGCTGGGACGAGTGGAGTGAATGGACCGTATGCAGCAGCCAGTGTGAGAAGCAGCGAAGTAGGGAATGCAACTCCCCAGCACCCAGACACCGAGGCAAGATGTGTGAAGGGAACAGCGAGGCCACTGAGAACTGCACAGATGGACTATGTACCCAGAGTAAGGCCTCTCTCCCCCGCTGGGCATCATCATCATCATCATCATCATCATCATCACTTTCATCATTTTCCTATCATTATCATCAGCATATATAGCCTACACTCACAGTAACATGCACGTTTGAACAGGAGATGTGTGTTGGAAAGAAATCACACTGTGGATTGACACAGATGCTCAGTGCATGATAATGTCAGCGCTCTTCTTCCTGTGTGCTGCTCACTTGACGTATTGTATGTCATACTGAATCTGTCACAGGTTAAGAAGTGGGGACATTCAGTCTTGAATGATGCTTGACGTTTTGAATGAAATGTCATTGCACTGTTTGGGTCATGCACATGCAATGACTTAAAAACTTGAATGTTTTACGCACTAGTGTGAACGCTAGTATGAATAATGACTGCACTCTAGGGCTGAACGATTCATTTTTATTTTAAAATTGTGATTTGAGGAGTGAGATCTTTAAATCACAGGGGGCACAATTTTATTTGTACTTTATGTGGATGTCAAACAAGCTGTAAGGTTCAATAAAGGTTCCCCCTAAGAGGGTAACCAATCCCAGCAAAGGTATTTAAAGGTATACTTCACCCCAAAATCAAAAATACATATTTTTCCTCTTACCTGTAGTGTTATTTATCAGTTTTATTCTGGTGATAGCTGCCAAGTATTGGAGATATCAGCGGTAGAGATGTCTGCCTTCTCTCCAATATAACGGAACTAGATGGCACACAGCTTGTGGTGCTCGAAACACCAAAGAATACATCTGAAAAACTCGACAGCAATGTCTCTCTCCAGAAATCATGAGTCACTCAAGATAATCCACAAACCTTGTTGTGAGCAGTTTCATGTAGGAACAAGCCTCTGTTCTTTCTACCGAACTACACCCGCCACCCATAATTCCACGCAGAAGGAAGAGTGCACCTACTCATGGACAAGAGGCTCATGCTGGTAACAGCACAATATAAATATTAATGGCGTCCTCCTTGGCTGAGCTGTGGTGTTAGTGATCCTCTCATCCATGAGTAGATGCACACTTCCTTCAGCGCAGTCATATGGTTGGAGGGTGTAGTTTGTTAGACAGAACATAGTAGCTAGTTCCTACATAAACACACAACATGCAACAAGGTCTGTGGATTATCTTGAGTAACCGGGTCATGATTTCTGAAAAGAGACATTGCTGTTGAGTTTTTCAAGTTTATTTTTTGCCGCTTTGAGCACCACAAGCTGAGTGACATCTAGTTCCATTATACTGGAGAGAAGGCAGAATCCTTACAGCTGATATTTCCAACACTCAGCACTACAGGTACTAGGAAAAACATGTATTTTTCAACTTTAGATCTCCCATTTAAACTTTAAAGCACAACATATCATTTATAGGCATACGCTTATCCCCAAAAGGCTCTGAATGTGTAAATTAGCTTGTCCTGAGCACTGCCAGCAGTAAGACTTGACTAGCAACACTGTCATCATGAGTGGACAAGTTAGAAGCTATAAATAAAGATCAATAAAGATTACAACACTTTTAGATTAATTTTTTTTTTATTGGATAATGTTGCACTAGCTTAATTGACAGGTTTGTGTAATGGAAAACAAGCACAGTGACCTTGTTCTTTTTGAAATAAAGAATCTTGGGAGGACTCCAACAAGCAAAACTGTACAAAAAAACGGAACTCATAAAACCACAGGATTTCTGATTTGAAAGGGTCTCTATGCAAAATTCAGAGTCTAAGAGTTGTCTGGACATAGTTCTCAACATGGGGTGCTTGAGCCAGCGGTTCTGAACTGTCCCTTTAATATAGCTGCAAACCACTATTTTTTAATGTAAAGATATAGTGGATAAATGGCATCCTGGCCAGAGAAAGAACTTTGCCTAGCTCTTTGTGTGTTGTAATCCAGACTTATCTGTTGTTTGTTGTGGTAAGGCAGTCTGGTGCCACACGTGCATGTTAGTGCATGTGTGTATCACACCAGCTAGCTCAAGGCCACCGCTGATATTAGGACTGTGTCACTGCACAGTCTTAACATCCACCCTCCAGTTCCCTCTGGTTAACAGTCAGTACGTTTACATGGACAGTTTAATTCCACTTTCATTCAGAATGAAAGGCCATTCCGATTAAAAGTGGTCATGTAAACGGTCATTCCGATTGAAATTTAAATCCGATTAAAGGGGATGGATTATTCAGTTAGTCATTCCGAATGAAAGAATTATGTGTGCATGTAAACACTCATTCCTCTTTAAGTTCATTCCGGTCTTTCTGCGCATGCTCGTTTCCTTGCCCTTCTGGCGCGATGACGTATATAGCGCGCATAGCAACGGGCTGAGATAGAGCAGTTGGACTCGTTGCACTCACCGGTTTCCATTCGCCAAAGCACGGTCTTCTATCTCCCTTCTTCGACCTTCTACCTCCCTTCTCCTCCTCAACAGACGAAGCATTAGCAGAACAAGGTTGTTGTCGTACTGCTGCTTCAAGAATATAAGCAAAACAAGCCCGAAAAAGGCACTAAGAACGGCGTCGTCAAGCATCTTGTTATCCGGAGCGAGGACTACAGTGTTTTCTTCCGGTAAACGTAAACACGTAACATCCGCTCCGCCCCCTAACCAATCAGAAGCCTTCCCTGCCCCAAACCTTGCGCAGACCCGAATAAAGGCGATTAAACTGATCTCCCATGTAAACCCTCATTCAGAATGAATATTTCTCATGTAAACTACCTGGAAAAACTTTAATTCCAAATGATTTCATTCAGATTCATTTCATTCTGAATGAGAAGCCATCATGTAACCGTAGCCACTGTCAGCACTGTTGCAATTGTTAAGTGCTATTCATGGAGTTAGCACTGTTAGCTGCTAGCCCCCAGCTCAGGCTTCTCCATCAAAATAGATTGTCTGACAGAAAGGTAAAGCTGTGAAAATACTCTCAGTGTTGCATACAAATAAACTAAAACAGATTTTTTTTTTTTTTTTTTTTTTTTTAAGTGGGACCTTTTTTAAGTGGCGAAAACATGTTTTGCTGCTACGTCCCTCTCCACCGCAGTATGTTGTTCAGCTTCCTTGTCGGAATCCAACCTACTTCTTTAAACTGGAGGCATACCAACTGACATCTACTGTATGTCATTCACTTACTATGGATAAGTGTCTTGTACAACCCCGCTTCAGAAAATCCAAACTATCCCTCTAATGCTCTGAATGTCGCATACAGAACCTTGAAAAACACAGAGTTTTAGTTATAGAAAATAATTAAGATTTAAATTACAGTCAATATGTGAAAAAAGAGCTTAAATTTTTCCCCCCAAATTGTTCAGCCCTACTAAAATGTGCTCTTGCATAATATACATTTTGAGAAAGTCAGGTAGAAAAGTGTGTGACTTCATCCCGTCTTAATTGAGTCACTCTTGTGTTTTGGACTTGTGTTCGGAGAGTATTAGCCCACTCAGGGGTATTTCCAAGCCTTTTAGCAGTTTGCACCTCACCACTTTTATCTATGGTGATATGAAGACAGTAATGATGCCTGCCTGGCCTTTATCAGATACTGTATATCATCAATGAGCACAGTCAGCAGAAGAGCTTCTCTCTACACAGGGTGTTGGATCTAAAACCGCACTTGTTAGTCACTTCACAGAGGCTCGGACTTTAATCACCACTTTCTCTCCTCTTTGTCTCATTCTATCTCTCTGTCTTTGCAGATCGAAAGCTGCTACATGATGTTAAACCTCAAAGTGAGTCTTCCTCTGTGGATTTTCTTTCATCTTCAACTCCTGGCCCCCATGGCTGCCACTAATACATATTGCCCTGAATTCTGGGGGGAAAGAGATGATATATTCTAAGTTTAAAGTTAGCAGAAAAATGAGTGACAGACGTTTGCATTCTCCCAGTACACACTGTGGAACCAGAAACATCATGAATTACCACCATTTAGTTTACTTTGATCCGAGCAACTCCTGTTTTAACCCAGCAAATGCTCATTATGTATTCATGTCATTATTCAGTGCCTGACTTTTATGACAAGCGTGACATCACAGCTGTGCTTTTGCTTTGAGCCAGGAGATATATTGGTTGTGACAAGTGAACATGTGCTGTGTTGTGGAGGATTAATGGGTTGTAATCATTGCAAACGAGCTAATTTGACCAATTTACGGCGCTGTCCTCACATTCCTGTGGCAGCTTTCAATCACTTGCGGGAGTTAGCCCGGCTAAGTGATTGTCAGGTGCTAGTTTGAGTGCTTTCATTAGCCTGCCACATTAGTGTAAAAACTGTGCCTACTGCCTTCTTCTCAGACTTTAAGGAAAGCTTGAATGATTGAGTGGGGAGTGCATTAAGCTGGTATGTGGCGAGTGATCACCCTGGTAGGAATACTCTAAATTAATTTTCCTCTGATTGTTCCTTGCGACAACTGGTGACCACCCGGCTACACCGCATGGGCTCTGCCTGCCTGCACTGTGAGATATCCATCATAGCTATTGGATATAGACCGGTGGGTCTAAAGGCAGTTAGGCTAATCACCCTCCATGTTAGCAGCTTGAATGTGATATGTAACAGTTTAGAGTAACGGCTGGACATGTTCATTTATGCCTATCTGTGGTGCATAATGTAGCATAGAGAGATAAGACAGATGGTCTGCTCCATCTTACCACTTTCCATTCTTCTTGTTTCATTTCCATCCTGGAGCCAGAGTAACACATTGTAACTCTTGCCTGTGTTTGACCTTGAATGTCTACATAATAACAGTATTGTCTCCACTGCTTTCTTTCCATCTCCTCCTCACTGTTTCTGGGTCTTTATTATTAATACAACAAAAGACAAGGCTCTTTTATGTGAAACTCTTAAAAAGCCTTTTCTCTTTTTTTGCAGTGCTGCCTTCATCACAGTAAAAAAGAGAAAAGACTCTGTTATTGGCAAAATCTCACATTTACATACCGTAATTTCTCAAGTGGTGACCGCAGCCTTTATTTACTGAAGTGGCAAAGAGAATCAGGCCTTTATTTCTAATGTCCCCTGTTCCCCAGTTAATGCAAAGTCAAAACTTCCTCTGGGTGTAACTGCTGTCTTGATAAATTCAGTATGATGTATTTTTCTACAGCACCAATTCCATCAGAACAGCAAGAGTCATGTCAGGTGTTCCACTTTGCCTTTTGCCCAAACGTTGTTAAACTGTCATGAATGAAACATTTCGCCCAGAATTTTCACATTAAAGGTCTTGCAGCCTCCCATCTACAGGCAGGCTCTAACGTGAAAAAACATCAGGAAACGTTGGTGTTTGATGACAATGGCTTAAAAGTGAACCCCACTGATTTAGCACGGCACTTTGTTAATATTGTCACACTCACAGTGGACACTTTTTTTTAAGTATCTAAAAAAAAATTTTGAAAAACAAGAGGTATTAGCCCATTGCCATCTCTTATTTTTGTCCCATCATTTGTTTTTGAGTGCCCCTTTGCCCCTCGGAACAGAGTTAAAAGGGGTAGTGGTTGAAATCCTCTCCTTTGAAATGGGACTACCCACGATCAGGAGTAGTTGATGGCCTTTATGTAAACAGACACCACTATTATAGTATTGCTATTGCTAACAATGACGCTGGCAATGCACGCTATAATTGATCATACGAGTCATCAAATAAAAGAGAACACTGCTTCATGAACAGGAAACTGCTTTGTAGGCTAACGTTAGCAATCTGTGCAGCAGCTTTGCATGCATGATAATATCGGCACGTCATCAGTATCGGATGATAATGGCTGTAAAATGAACTATCAGAACTGGCCAACATGCTTTTTCTTATTTTGCACAATCAATGAATAATACATGCATTGAAAAGCATTGTATTTCTTGTCTCCATCTGCTGGTGGACCATCATGATAAGAGTATGCATGTATATTTTGATGTTAATTCCACTGCAGAAGAGACTCGATTATCACTAAAATGAGGTGGGGAAAAAAGTGGCTATATCGATATCAGTATTGGTTATCGGTCAAATGAGTTCTTACATATCAGCATATCAGATACTGGCAAAAAAAAATCCAATATCGTGCATCCCTGCCATGAATCGGGGGAGAATTCAACATGGGAATATGTCAAACTGCTGGACTATCATGAACCAATCAGCAATAACAATGCAACGTTAGCTAGCTAGCTACCAAGAAGTCAGCATAGTACTGGCAATTTTTTTGTTACGCTTGTTAGAAAGAAAAAGATTGTAATTCAACATATTCTCAAACAACAGATTGTATGATATTCTAAATTATTGCCCCAGGTATGATGTTACGTACTTATCCTAATGTTATGTACTTAAAGTAAAGTTATGTACTTATAATGGAGGTTAGGTTTAGGCAAGTAAAGCTGCTGTGATAACGTATGGGAAAAGAAACATGATGACAGCGTACCTTAAAATGACTCAACGTCCACTCCAAGTCCACACAGTTCCGATGATAGAATATTATTACAATAGCCAAGTCAAGATACAATATTATTGCCATTTTAAATATGTTGCGTAATGCTGAGCATTACAATACAATATATTGCCAAATTTTGCAATTTACTACCTTTTTTCAATTCCCAAAGGAAAACTTTGTCAACCTTTTTTTTATCTAATAAGATAAAGTTTTCAATCTGTTCATATGTATTTGTAATACTGATAATTTATTCAATAAAAAAAACTGATACTTGGCACTGTGTGACAGTACGATATTGCCACACAAAAATTTTGTGATACTATTTTACATTAATTTTTTTTCCGCACCCCTAAAGTCTGGTGCTTTATTATCCACCACCTTCCCATCCTGCCTCTTTATGGGACGGCTTTCTTCTTTACTCCCATCAGCGCACTGGTCACATAATCACAGCCTTCCCAGGTGCGCGGGTTAGACACATGTACTGGCTCATTATTGCGTGGGATATGTAGGAATTTTGGTGTTACCTTTCGCAGGAACATGTATGAACAGTGCATGAGAACAGCCTGTGTAATCTTGGTGGTAATGGTAAGAAATGGTAAGAAAATACATTTGGTGGTGTCTTTTGTTGCTTGTGCAGCTGTCTTGCCGATAGTTTCTCATAATATTCGGTTTGGAGTGTACCTCTGAAAAAAAAATTTTTGAGTACCATGTATCCCTAACACTTATCCCACCCTACCCCTTTATCCTAAGAAGAAGTGGTTACTATGTTCCCTTTGAAGTTTATCAGTGTAGTACGGCAAAGAGGAAATGACTGGAATTAAGTATAAAGTATGAATTGTCTTGAATTGATGCTGTAGAAATAGACATAATACAAAATGTTACCATGTGAGCTGTCATAAGACTTCAGGTAATTCCACCTCCTTTAGTGTTTTTATTTATTTAATTTATTTTACCAGTCTATTATTATTCCCCAATTGTAGCTTAGACTGTGCCAATATTTGAAAACCTGCTTTTTTATGAGAATTTACATTAGCTTTCCTTTTTCATGTGTCTTGTGTGCCTCAGGTATGGACAGCACCAGTGATGTAGCACTGTACTCAGGCCTGGGAGCAGGCATCATTGCTGTGGCAATCCTCGTGGTGGCTGTCATGCTGTACAGGAAGAACCACAGCGAGTACGGCGTGGATGTCATCGACTCCTCCGCGCTCACCGGGGGTTTCCAGTCTTTCAACTTCAAGACCACCAGACAAGGTAAGACAGAGCATCATCAAATGCACGCTGACACACGCCAACGACCACAAGGCCAAAAGGCAGTGTCATCAAAGACCTATGCGACAGGGCCACCCTGTTGATTGATGGTTTTTGTTTGCTTGGCGTGCAGCCTCCCTATCTGCTTAGGATTTATACCTCCATAATCAGTGAAAGGACCTGTCCTTCCATTTTGACAGACCAGCTTCTCTGTTATTGTGAAGCAGGAGATAATCAATCTCTGATACAGACCGACACTGCTCCACCCCCTCCCAACAGACCACACATTTGACTGTCAGGCAACCAATCTCTTCCATCAGATTACACTGGCCTAAACCACTGATGGATAAATGTAAGGGGTATGGAACAGTGAACATCAATTCAATTTTTGATGTGCACAGCAATAACTTCTGTTGGTTATGTGACTGTGGCTGTCCCGGCCAGCCTCGCTACAGGCATTCATATTACTGTCACTGACATTTCTGGGTTAGCGCAAGTGATAGCCATCGCCGCGATGGGTGATCCATCCTCGCCTCGGTGACAGCGCCATGAGAAGCCCTGCCGGAGCCCACACTGTGCTCCCGGCTCCCCCAAGGCCTTGGGAGTCAGTCAAGCCCCGCCCCATGTCACGTGATTGGAAGGGTGTGAGGAAAACGAGGACTAGGAGGTGGTATGAGCTGGGTCTACATTCAGCAGGTCATCAATCCTATTTAAATAGGCCAGCTCTCCCCGCAGCCTGCCTGCTGTGCCCTCCAACGGCCACAATCACTCCTTTTCATTTTCGTCTCTATCAGCCCGACCGAGGCTCCCTATGAAATGTAGAACACTTCCTCAGCCCCAGTTTGGAGGAAGTTGTTGAGCCATTTTATATTAGCCTACTTCTGCCCTGATTGCATTGTTAACATTTAACCGTCCTTTTCATAAACATAGCAGGATATTAGACACTTCCTCCAGGGGGGAAACATCTCTAAAAGTGTGTGTTTAATTGCAAATCAGTAGCTTTTTCATGGCTAATAATCACACGGGAAAAAAAAAAAAATCCGTTAAATATTTAAAGAAGTTCTTAAATGCTTTCGGATGGCTCTCTGCTGCCGGAACGGCTGTAAGGTAGAGGACTGAATCAGTCTTTGGACCTGACCCTGTCTCTCCGCATTACTTCTCCTTCTGAGTGATTTTTAATCAGAGGCCCAATTCCAAACCAATCCCTCAAGGTATTCAACCTGAGGTACATTTCATTAACTTCTCTCATCTCACCACTGCCATTCCATTTTCGCCGCGCCATTCTTAAAGATGCACACTCAAGCGATAATCAGATCATTCTCCACTCGACCGGAGGGGAGAAAATTTAGCAGTGATCGAATGTCAGCGGCAGAAGGGTAATGTCCACCGGGCTGCAGCTCTGACCAAGAGCTGGAATATCTGCAGAGTCGCCTGTAGGTGCACTGTCACTGTTAGACTGTTTAGAAATGAAAACTACATATTTTCATTTTTAATAGAAAATTACCATAGTAGCAGTTGTCTGAAGATGGTGTTCCATATCATATTTGCATGTTATCTGTATCATTTCCAATGGAGGTGCAATCTTAGAGCATGGAGTATATGAGCAATAACATAGATGTCACAGGCTCAAACCCTGCAACTAGTTTAATAATCTAGACTGAAATAAAACCTACATGCCCCTAATAAGGGCTGAAATGAATAGCAGATTAATGGATTTGGCAATCAGCACCAGATGATTGCAAAATATTTTGATCATGGATGTATCATTTAAAACATGGGTCAAATAAAAAGGACATTAATTCTCAAAGGGCAGAATTTCATGCTTTTCTTTGTTTGATATTATTGTAAAATAAATATTTTGGGGTTTTGCACCAGACAAAACATTTGGAGATAAAACCTTTATCTCTGGGAAACTCAAATTGGGATTGTTTACTATGACGTGACATTTACAGTGTGTTACGATTTTGTTGGCTCAATTTTCAAAACTATACAAATAGGACCAAGTGAAAAATGTGCATTTTATGCAAAAGTCAGTATTTGAAATGGTGGAGGGTGGGAATGATTTTCATATAATTTATTGGGTGTGAATGCTGGAAGCAGTCTGCTGGAAGCAGTCTGAAAAAAGCTTGAATCAACACAGCAAAACTCAACAAAACTGCGTACACTTGATTCCAGCTATCGGTTGTACTTTATTACGAACCAAGTTAACACTAATGTTAGCATTAACTGACTTCCCCAGCTAGTTAGCACAACTGTTAGCACAGCTGCTGAAATATTTGCAAGTTGTGAAATACTCTCATACTCACACTCACACACTCAACAATTATGTGAATAATGTTCAAAAATTCTTGTTTGCATTTTGTCTGAGCACACCTTCAAATTTTTTCATGCATTTTCAACTTTTATGTAATTACTCATACTTTCAGCTAGAAAATCTATTCAAACTCTTTGATACACGCTGTTTTTTTTGGTGTTTTTTTTACATTTGAATTCCATTTAAGCTTTTAAAATATTCAATGCTCTTTGAAGCTTAGTAAAATCCAACTTTTCACATTTTTACATTAATATTTATTTGATGAAAAATCAGAGTTAGAGTGACATCACAGTTAGATTAAAGAGGAGCTTTAAAATCTTCTTCAAAAAACGAATTAAACTCACTCTCAGTCCCACAATTGTCACTCATCATTTTTGGTCAAAATTTGTGCTCTTTCATACAATGTAGCGATGGAGGCAAACCAGCTCACATATTTGGAAATGTAACCTGAAAATGACATGAATTCCAAGCAACTACCACATAGACCTTCATGTTAACTGAGACCAGAGATTTCTAGAGGAAAGTAGACAGTGCCAGTTTTCTAACCTCCTATTTTGACACTGTGCATACAAATTTTTGCTCACTATCTTCAGCAGAGTCTTTCTCTGGGTTAGAATAATTAAGCGATAGGCTATGAGTTACATTTTTTTTTTTTACCGGCTAACAGGAGTACAAGAGGTGCGCCTCATCTTAATCTCTATGAAATTATCTCTCTGAGCCAGGAGTCACTTAGCAGTTACCATCATCATCACAACCTTTGATTACAGCTGGATACACCTTTCTGATTCAGCTGAGCTAATTAGTGCAGTCTGACATACACACGCACACACGCTCACATGACCTGGACATTTTCAGTCTTTATAAAGCATTTGTACACGACTTCTCTACTTATTCATACTATCAGCTAGAAACTTCTTTCAAAGCTGTTACACATCTTTTCATACCTGTCTGGTATTAGTCAGCTTTTCAATGACATATAACTAATTAAACCGTTTCCCACCTTTCCAACTATTCCAACTACTTTGCCGTTTTTGTACACATTTTAACGTTGAATTACATCGATTTTAAATTTTCATATATGTTATTTCAATAGTCAATGACATCAAAAGTTTGACACTTATGTGGTTTCTGGCTCAGAGAAAGATAAGCTGATGTTCACAAATACAGATTGAACTTTCTTAGGCCAAGGAAAAAACATTGAAATTCTTGATTAAGATGATGTTTCCCTTTAAGCCAACAATGCAGTGTATTGTCAGGTTTTCAAAACTAAACCTTAAAATATTCTACTTCTTTTTAACATTAATAGTATTATTCATCTTTTCAGTGACATTTATACAAATTAAACCCATTTCCAATTTTCCAACTATTTCCACAACTTCTTTTTACACATTTAAGCCAACAATGCAGTGTAGTGTCACCACAATTTACTAATGTTAGCATGGATAATGAAGTCAGTCAAGTCAAAACTTCAATTAAACGCCTAGTCCCTTTTACTAGCCCGGTGTGGCTACACAGTTTGTCAAATTAGCGCCTGCTTCAATTAGACGCCCGGTCTAGTTGCCAAAGAGTTCCTTTTTTTTTTAATAGAATTTTTTTTTGGATGTGTAAAAGCAGGTTGTTGGCTGCCTCAAATTATGTTTCTGTAAGTTATTCATATATATTCATATTGCATTAGTCTGTAAGGGTCCTCAGTTTAAAAAAAATTCAAAAGGGTTTTTCAAAAAAATTAATCCAAGTTGTGGGTATTGTTTTAACAAGATAAAGTGGTGTTGTGTAGATATGCCGTGTGCTGTAATCCTCGTGTGCCATAACACTCTCTCTCTCTCTCTCTCTCTCTCTCTCTCTCTCTCTGGAGCCAGATCAAATGAATGATTCATAAGTGATATGTTTTCTCAGGCCTAATTTTTATACAAGTAATATTCAAACTGGTTTTAAGAAACAATGTGATTGTATTCCCCGATGTTTGCTGATTAACACTTTTGTGTAAAAGGAATTTAAGGCCTGTCCTATGGAGATGCCTGTCCCAAATATTGTCACATTGATTTCAGTGATTTAAGCAAATAATAGCCTGGGCCATTAATTAAAATTTTATGGTATGTACAGTGAAGTATACATTCATACAGGACAAAATAATGATTGTGTATGAACTCTATGTGCTTCAGTTTACTGTTCATGATCTGTACCAACTGTGAAAATGTGTGTGGGAAGAATTGAGCATTTGCCTGGGTACAATGTATTATCAGAGAATGGTTCATATGATATCCTGCAAATTTGCGAGAAACATGGTGAGGACGTATCTTAAAATGTGAAGTTCACAGGGATCCAAACAAGTGACTCCAGCAGAAAGTCCCTGGTGAAAAACATGTTTTTTGCCACCCATCCACCACCCCAACCTGCCACCTCACAAGTGGTCAGGACTGATTCCTTGTTTACTACCATCATGTGATCAAAGCCTCTCAAAATACATGGGATATGTATGAATTTGGGTGCACTGCTTTTCGTAGGAAGATAAACGAAAAAAAAAAATTATGAGAACAGCCTGCTGGATAAATGAGACTTGGAATATACTGCACAAGTAGTCTGTTTGTAAATGCATGTTTTGATATAGTTTTGCTATTGTTAAACATGGTCCCCAATCAATCAGTAAACAATATGCTTGCCATTATATGTGGAGGCATGCGAGAAAAACAAAGTATATTTCATAAATTTTATGCATTTCTTTAGAATGTCTCTACATTGAAACTGCATGAAAAATCCAATAGACTTAATGATTAGTTGATTAGTCAAGATAATAATCAACTATAAATCGATAATCATTTGCCCTGAGCACTTGCAGGAGTAATAGGATGAATAGGAGATGCAGCAGCTGTTACTGAAAACTGTGAATACATGCCAGGTAATATTCCATATTCTGACTCTGTTAGGAAGACAAAAACAGCAGGAAAAGTTGAGTTTTGAAGAACAAGTCAAAACCAACACACCCCAAAATGCCCATCACAAATCATGCCCTCTGTAATTAACGATTCCTCTAAAAATAAAACAACATTAGCCTCCCGCCTTGCACCCCTCGCCAGGCAACAGCTGGGCAGCAAGGACTCAGTGACTTCGCCGTTATCTTGGCACGGCTCGTCCAGGGGCACTGCACATCTGAGTCTGCCAGATCGATGCGGCACGCTCCTCGCTCCGTTTGGCAGCGTCGTTACATCTAATGGCCACAGATGAAGACCCCCCTCCACAGGCTGTTGGGTCCACACTGGGAGCTGAAGGACTCCCCTCATTTACAGAGCAGTCACCTCCACCCCTTCCTGGCCCTCCCTCCTGTCCTTCAGGAGGACGACTCGGTGTCCAGAGGAGCTGACTCCAGCAGATGGATTATGGAGATCAAGCTGTGTGTGTGCTTGGTAATTAAATCTAACGCTCTGACCGTGGCTCCGAGCCCTGGACCTTCTGTCCAGGTTGCGCTCCCTTACCTCTGATGCACTGGTCGCCTGCCCGGACATGTTGTTTTAATTTGTGCTGGAGCTTCTCTGGTCAGCTGCAGGAAATATCCAGAGATGTGGCTCTTAAACCTGCTTTGAACTGGATTGATGTTACCTAGAGGTATCTAGGAGTTTGGATTAATTCTGGAGATTAAAGGTGATTTTAATCTCAAATCTGCTGTGTCATCTTTTTGAAAAATATAAATCTACTATATTGTGCTGCAGACAGATATTTCCTGATAATATTTAATCCATGCTAACTGAGTGGCACTTTTTTCTGCTTTATCTTTTTCCTGTCATGAAAAATAAAGGAATTCTCAGTCTTTTAAAATGTCAACTTTAACTTTGCTAAATCAAGAAATGACAAAAAAAACAAAATCAAACAGTCTTGACCTTATTTAGTTGTATCTGGGACACCAGTGAATTTCATTATCCCATGTGAGTGCTGTTCAGGAAACACAGAGGTTGAGCTTTGATTCATTAATTAAACGACTTCCCTACATAATGCGAGTCCCATGCGAGCAGGGCTTTCAGGTGACTGTGTGACTGTGCTATCTCTCCATCTCTGTAGGCAACCCGCTGCTTCTCAACTCCACGATGCAGCCTGACTTAACAGTGGGCCGGACATACAGCACGCCCCTCTGCTTCCAGGACAGCACAGACAAAGAGCTCTTTGACCCCCTGCCAGACATCAAGGTCAAAGTTCAGAGCTCCTTTATGGTTTCACTAGGTGTGGCTGAGCGGGCGGAGTTCCACGCCAAAGCCCCTGCTGAGACCTTCCCGAGAGACCTGAGCCGGGACTACAGCAGCACAGCGGATAGACGCAAGAAAGGCCTGCTCACCCTCAATGGGCCCTTCAGCACCTGCAAAGAGCAGCTGAGGACCACCGGCGTGTTCGGCCACCCCGGAGGGCGCCTGATGGTGCCAAACACCGGTGAGCTATGCAGGAAGTAGATAAAAGCACAAACTGGTTTGTTTAGCAGAAACAGCACTGTCTCTGTCTTTTTTGTGTTGATAATGAAAAGTAGCTCACACACTGCGCTCTTGGTTTCCATAATGAGAGGGTGCTCATTATAGAAGCCATCATAAGCCAGTGCTGTTTAGCATGAGGTGCAGTCTTCCCAAAATGTCATGCAACACAACAAACATCTAAAATTTTCCAACATTTTTTCTCCACTTCCCCAGTGCTTGTTGTTAAACAGTCTGCTGTGTGTGCATCAAGAAACTACAGTCCTTCTTTGTTGTGTTCTGTCAGCACGCACAAAAAAAAAAGGTGGTGCAGTGAACTTTTCTCAGCTCGAGAAGGTGGTACACTGTCTAAAAACAGATCTCAACCAGTGGCTACCAAAAAAAGGTATGAATAGAATAGAACAACACAAGATTAACATATAAAAGACACATGTTCATAGGGCGTCAATGAAATAATTAAAACAAAGGATGCAATATAAAAACATGAATGAAATCATTTCTTTTTATCTTAAAAAGCTGTATTTTTAGTTGCCAAAAGCCCCCTATGGTACTTTCTAGAGTTCAGGATCTCTGAGGGACTGACAGAATAAAAGATGAGAACTGTCTGTCTGGATGCCCGTGGCTTAATCTCCTTTTCTGACAGTACAAGTCCAGGTTTCCCAATTATTTTGTTGGCTATACCAACTATTCTAGCAAGTCTGTCCCTGAACCTGTAGTTCAGGTGATGTAAAGAGGACACTCAATCCAAGATTTGTAAACTGTTTCTAGATAATTGATCAACAAACTTTGAAGCTATTGAATCTCCTCACAAGATAAATCTGTGCTGTGTATTTCCTGAAGCTGTTGTCAGAACTTTCAAAAAAAAAGGTCAGACAGCAGTTCTTGGTTCAGCTTCCTAAAAGGATGATTGTACAATCCATTTTATGGATCTTTTAAAAGTGGAGAGATGTTCCAAAAGCTATTTTACAGACAGTTGAATATATCACATTCGGCGCTGACAAAGTTACTTTTGAAATATAGTAGATTACAGATTACTAATTGTACTGTTAAAATTGCAGTAATTTATGTAACCAATTAAATAAGCTCATCAAAGTTGTTTAACTTATTACATTTCATTACTTTTTAAGCAAATGCTTTAAACTGGGCGATGGTGCTGAAAAATTTGGGAGACCCTCAGTGATGCCGAGCATGAACAGAGACATTAAAAACAATCAATAAGCAAACAAAGAACCATCATGCATATCAGTTAAAACAGAAATGAAATCATACAAAACAACAAACAACAATAGCAATCGCTAAAAGTACAAATACAGGATGATAAACATGTTATTGTTGTAGATGTATACTTAAAAGCATTTACACTCATTTAGCACAAGATCATAAATAAGGCATTTAAACAGCCATTAGTGTGGCTGAGCATCCAAGTTGAGGTCTTCTGCAGATTATTCCATGTATAAGCAGCACTGTAAGAGAATGACATTTTTCCTTGTTCAGCTCTGATTACGGGAGTGAAGAGAGAGAGTGAAGCAACAAGCTATTCTGTGAGCGAGTACCACATTTATGTGAGGTCAGAGTTAAAGGGATGAGATATAGGGTGGAAGGATCTGTTCCAAAGCTTTATAAATGAACAAATACCAATGCTGTTCCCGCCTCACAGCCACATGTGGCCATCTGACCTTTGGGTAAAGGTGGCAGTGATGGGTGCTGTAAGAATCGCCTGTTATGAACCTTAGGGCTGAGTGGTAAACAACGTCCAGTGATCTCAGTGTAGAGACAGCGGCTTCATAACATCCCCATAATCCAAAACAGACAGCAATACAGATTCTACAATTCTTTTTATATGTAGCCTACAAAAGGAAAATAGTTCTTATTTCTGTACAGAAAGACACATATTGTCCTCAATTTGGTAGTCAGAATGTCAATATGGTGTTTAAAATTAAGATTGTTGTCCAGCTAGACACTAAGGTATTCATTGCATGGATGTGCCATTTGAAGAATGAATACTGAAACTCTTGGTTAACAGTAGTGCTGCAAGATTTAATAAAAATGTGCGATTTGAGTGGACAATATTGCGTTTTGCGATTGCAATTACAATATAATAAATAAATGGTTTCATTAGTCTTCTTGCTTGATTCAGTGTTTCCCCTACATTATATCAGGGGAGCACTGACCTGACCTGACATAGTTATTGTTTATGGACAATGTCAATGACCATCAACAGACTGGGCACAGTCAAACACGCTGCTCACACAGCAGCACAGCACGGCACTGTACACACAGCGGAGTGACCCTGTGTTGCGTTCAGGCGTTGCCACGTTAATGACAAATTCCAGCACACCACAGCTCAACACAGCAGCATGTCAAGTGGGCCGAACCCGAGCAAAATTGTTCAGTTTTTCATTTGTTATTATATAGTTTGTTATGGAGTGCATGATTTCCCTTTGACACTTACAAATGTTTGCTTAACTGTGCTTGGATGTTGTTTTATGAGGCTCTGGCGACTTTCAGTTGTCTCTTTGTCTTTAATGTTACACGGCTCGGCTTTCTCTCGCATGCATGCTTCCTGCTTTTCTCTGTGCTGTCTCAAGCGCCGGGTGGTCACCTGACCATACATGCTGCACGCACCAGGATAGCTTGTGGGCATGATGTCAACAAACTCCACACACTACCGGAGAGGCAGTCACGTTCACAGGCACACACGTTAACATTTATTTACATTAAATCACAAATCGCAGCATTCTGTGTGGTTATGTAATCGCACAGCCTGACATCGCGATTGCGATTAGATTAATTGTGCAGCACTAGTGAACAGCATCCATTAGTTTTTTGTCTGACATGAGAATGGTCTCAATCTTCTCATTAATCTCAGCAAGAAAATAAACAAGCATATTTAATCAATTATCTCTTGCTTTAATGTAATGTGGCCAGTGTTGGGGAGTAACTACAGCTGGCCTGGCTCTGTCGGAAGCAAGTGGGAACCTACAGTGATGAAAAATGAAGCCAACGTGGAAGTGCCAAAAACTGCAGTTCCCCAAATGGACACTTGAGGCTCCCTCCAAGAGAAAGACCCATTTAAATATAATTAAGGCTTGAAGTTATTTGCAATTAGTAAGTGGCTGCTTTGAGCGACAGGTGGGTGCTGTCTGTTGACAAGTCCCAACCACAGCGAAAATGTTAGGTAGGTGTTGTAACCATGGCATATCCCCATATTCAAAAAGTAAAAGAATGTAAAGAATGAATGTGTTCTAGGTGAGGGAAAAATAAAGAAAAATAAGTTAGGTACACGTGTGTAACTCAACTCTCACAAATTTTTTGTCTCACTAAGAAGTCATATTCATATTACATCACAACCATTAATACATCTACAAACTCATTAGACCCTATATATATATTGCAAGCTGTTGCAAAGATCCATCAGTGCCGTTGCCAAGGCAGGTAGCTGTTTGTTATTCCTCCACATCCTCGCAGACTCTCTCAGGCAAACAGGGGTCATGCTGTCATCATCATCAACACAAATAGAGCGATTGGAGGAGTTAGCATGGACCGTTACAGTTGTCACCAGGTCAGCAGTCTGCGTGGAGCGGTGCACTTAAGGCCCTCTTCTGTGGTCCTCGTGCACGTAGTGGTGGCCCTCGGCCGGCATGGAGAGGTGAAGTAAAATCAGCCTCCTGCGGCCCTCTTTCAGGCTGAGGGTCTGAGTGGAAGAGTCGTTGCTGTCAAGTGCAGCACTCACATAGCCTGTCCGCAGAGGCCACTATTCATTAGACTGAATAGTCGGCCTTACGCAGCACTTCACTGCAGATTGCTGAAGTCACCTTAGTGATATGAAACCAAAATAGCAACATTACTTATATCTGAACAGCTTTTAAAGAGTGCATTAACTGTAACTATGAGAAATATATGTCCTCACTCACCTCTAGCAGTGTATAACCATGTAGATCGTCTCATTTTAATAAAAAAATGAATTGAATTGAAACATCAATTAAAATTTACAGTAGCTGTGACAAACTCTGTTTTCATGATCCTGGTATGGTCAGAATGATGTTTGTTTTCTTGTCAAATGATGAAGTCCCCGATTTGTTTTTTGCAGTCAGTGTTTGGAAATCCTTTCAGCGCTTTTACATTCACAAGGTCCTCTGTGGCAGTAAAACATGTTACATGACTCAGAGCCTCCTGCAAGTTGAGCTGAGCTTGCTAAGCACCTTTTTGGGCTGACTACTCTAAAACGTCCATTAAAAAGCCTAGTCCCAATTAAATGCCCAGTCTCTTTCACTAGCCTGGTGTGGCTACACATTTGGACAAATAAAGGCCTGTCTCGGTTATACACCAGGGGCCCTATTCACAAACATACTGAGAACACTCAGAAAGCTTCTAACTTAAACTAAATTTTTTAAGCAGGAGCAAGGAATCCTAGCTTAGGAGTGAAAGTTCTCAAAGCAGCTCTGAGTAAGGAAAGGACAGAAACTTTACGTTAGTGAAGAGGTGTAGTTGACCCTGTTGCTAGATATGATGCATTCTTTTAATGGATGTGATTAGTTGTCACAGACACACCCTTTTGCGAACCTGCAAGGTGAGGACACCCAGTGGAAATGAAATGGACTGCTGACTGTGGAAGTGTTGTCATTGTTTGTGTGATCACTCTGCTGATGGAAGGTTGAGACAGACCCAAGTCATCACTGCTGCACTGTTGCATTCTTCCAATTTTCCAAATTTTATTTCTGGCGTTAATACATTAGAAGGGAAATGTGTGCATATCCCCAATGAGATAAACCACACATATTATCTCTGCATGATCTAAAAAGTAGCATTTCATTTACTCACTGTCATCCAATGTTTAGCCAATATTTCTCCAACCTCTTCATGTTTCCACCATTTTCTCCTCTGCGTAAGAAACTCTTAAGTCCTAGGAGCTCTTTTAAGGTCCAAGATGCTCTGTGAATAACTTTTATCTTTACACGTACCTAG